ATGTGCATTAAGTGATTTCCAAGTTTAACTCTGTCGTGAAATTATACGATGTTACTGTAGATGTGGAAATAGGGAAAACGCTCCCTTTATTTCTCCCTTTCTCCTCTTTCCAGAATATTAACTAAGGTGCAAAAATAATTGTTTGGACCACATTTATAAGTGGTGGTGGTAGAGAAGAGAATTTTAGTTATTTTAATAGAAATAATTTTTTTTAATTGTTTGGGAGTCATTGAGGATACAAAGAATTAGGTTGCACTGATTATGGTTGTTAGGTCAAGTCCCTCTTGTAGTTGTGTCCCGTCCCCAAGAGGTGTGCCATACACCGTGCTTCACCCATCTCCCCCTTCACCCTCTCAACTCCCTCATTTCCCTGCCCCCCCACCCTGTATCAGCTCATTTACTGCCTTCATATTAGAATTGCATACATTGAATTCTTGCTTCTCCATTCTTGTGATGCTTTGCTAAGAAAAATGTGTGCCACCTCAATCCAGAGCAATAAAAATGCTGGGAAAACAGTGTGGGCAAAACACTTGAAGATATCAGCCTGGGGAAAGAGTTTATGAAGAAGACCTCTGTGGTAATTGCAACAACAACAACAAATAAACAAATGGGACTTAATTAAAGTGAATAGCTTCTGTATAGTTAAGGAGACAACAACCGAAGTAAATAGACAACCTACAGAATAGTAAAATGTATTTGCATATTATGAATTGGACAAAAGCTTGATAACTAGGATCTAGAGAGAACTCAAATTAACCTAAAAATTGCTGATAATCCCATATATCACGGTGCAAGAGACATAAATGGAAGCGTCACTAAAGGCAGCAGACAAATGGCTAACAAACATGAAAAAATGCTCATGGTCCTAATCATCAGAGAAATGTAAATCAAAACCACCCTCAGGTATCACCTAACTCCAGTGAGAATAGCCCACATCACAAAGTCTTAAAGCTGCAGATGCTGGTGTGGAAGTGGAGAGAAGGGAACACTTTTACACTGCTGGTAGGACTGCAAATTAATACAATCATTTCGGATGGAAATAGGGAAAATCCATAAAAAACTGAAATCAGATCTCCCATTTGATCCTGCAATCCCATTACTAGACATCTACCCAGAAGAAGAAAAAAAAATTTTATCATAAGGACATTGATGACTATTTATCACAGCTCACTTTACAATCGCAAAAATGTGGAAACAGCCTAAATGCCCAGCAACACAGGAATGGATTAACAAGCTGTGGTATGTGTATACCTCGGAACACTATTCGGCCACTAAAAATGATGGAGACTTTACAGCCTTGGTGCTCTCTTCTTCCCCCCTTCTGATGAAGGAGGGAAAGGGGTGGGAAGTTGCCGTCTTCTTGCCCTCCCTTGCACTCTACCTGTGGTAGACACAGGGCTGGATCAGCCACTCCACTTACAGCCCCTGGGTCTGTCCCCAGCTACATCTTCCTTTCTTTATTTTGTCTAATTTTTTGACACAATGCCTGGCCTTGGAAATGTAAATTACATCAATTACCTCTTCTTCTTAGAACTCACATGTAAATCTGGTTTCCAGATAAATTATCAGAGAGCCTTTTACATGGATGAGGAAATGAGCAAAGTTAATTAACAAAGTAGATCCCTGCTTCCTCCTGGCTGTCTTCCCTGGGGGTTGAGCCTCTCATAAACATCAGGGGAAGAACAGCTCTGGTTTGGTGGATGTCTGCACGTGCGCATGTGTCTGTTGTGGGTGGAAGTGTACGTGGGCATTATTGAGCTCCCTGGCCATGCTATCTTAATATTACAATTCTGTTGTCTTCTCTAATCACCTGCCTTTATTTTGAGGAAGTCACAATGGAAATGGAGCAAAGAGAATGAGGTGGTTTGGAAAGGTAGGGAGGACAACTGTGGAAATATTAAAACAGATTATTATATACAACATTTGATAGTTACATTTATGAAAGAAAGAATGTTTATAAGAAATTTAAAGACTGTTCTACTAAGTAAGCATAGACATTCTAAGAAACACTACTTTTTATTTTTTCCAGACAGAGTTTCACTATGTTGCTCTCAGTAGAGTGCTGTGGTGTCACAACTCACAGCAACTTCAAACTCTTGAGCTTCAGCAATTCTCTTGCCTCAGCCTCCCAAGTAGCTGGGACTACAGGTACCTGCCACAATGCCCAGCTAAACACTACTTATTTAAAAGAAATTGTCCACGTGGTAAATTTTTCCAAAAAATCCCCCCAAATCTACCCAAGTAATTCTACTAATCCTGTTGTTATTCATGGAATTGTGTGCCTGAGTGTGTTGTCAGTGTGGTGTGTGTGAGTGAATGTTGTGTTTTTTCTCTCCCGGGGGCGGGGGGGGGGATTAACAAAGTGAGTATAGGACCAATTTCTAGTCCTAAGAAATGTTTAGCAATGGCTCAAATACTCATGGAATACCAAGAAACCAAGCTATGACAATGGCAAAGTAGCTAAAATAAAGACTTCTAACAATTACACACATTTAAAAATTCGTGCATGGAGGACCAGGTAAGTTACAAGCTGAAGTTCAAGTCCTTCCATCTGTATGTATAGCTACTTCAGATGTTGACAGTAACAGGGTTGCTCCCACACTCACAATACGAAACAAATGGGTCATCTACAGCTTTGTGAGACACTTTCTAAGAGCTGAGGTCACAGACCAACCAATAAACCCTATTGCAAAGATAAAAGCCTCTTCAAGGAGAGACAATCGCCTCATCTTTAGGACAGCATGAGAGAAAGGTGGCACCCAGAGGCAGGCGTAAGAAGCCATTAGCCAGTATTTAAACTGTGGAAGGTCTTAACAGGACCCGATCACTTCACGGAATCCCCTGGTGATACACAACATTCAAACTTCCACAAAGGACAGTTTACCCCATCAGCCACTGTAATAGAGCAGGAAGATGATCAAATGCAATAAATTCCAGACAGACGTCATCCTAATCTAATCTTTCTCATTTTCACTTCTGAAAATCTTTTTGAAATCCTATAGGGACTTATTTCTGAATTTGTCAACTTGCCTGAGGTAGCCTGAATATGAGGGGGAAAAGGCATAATGGAGTTCATTTGGCAAGGGGAGTTTGTGATTTCATTTGCTTTTTAGACTCAAAACACATGTGTTTCATGCTGAAAATTCAGCGAATTATTGTGGTGAACTGAAACTGATTTCCACTGAACATCTGGAAGTTGATCTTGTGACACAGGAACATCTCCATACAAACAATGAAGGCCATGGACAAAAATGGTAGTATTTAACATTTGTCAAATCAATGCCTCTCCAAATACCTTCGGCCACTGATGCTATTCGTTCTATCTTTAGGTCAATAATGAACAAAACCCTTGAAAGGTTAGAGTTGTTTTACTTTTTTCTTTACATGATACTAAACTCTTTAAATCATACCAAACTTAACACGATGTGGTTTCACTGACAAGATCACCACTGTTACATATGCCAGCAAAACCAAATAACTTTTACAATGTTAAATCTGGCATTTATCAGAAAATGGTTATCAATGGGTATTTTGAGGACCAAGTGTGATAAATCTTACATGTGCAATTGAGGTATCAGCTTAACCACCTAAGTTAATATCCTACTTTCACCCTTTTCCAGGACTCTCCTTTGAAATACTTGGATGACAGTGTTTAGATCAAAGGATTGTTGCAAAGATTGAAAATGCTAATCTATTTAAGCATTCATTCTGGTTCATAGAATAGGCTACTGATGACAAGTAAAGTAAGTGAGGCTGGAATAATATTCCTTATCACTTTCATTTTACAAATGCAGAAATAGTACCTCAGAAAAGATAAATTGTTTACTTAAGGAAATACAGGTAGTTAGCAGGTGCAGTGGCTCATGCCTATAATCCCAGCACTCTGGGAGGCTTAGGTCGGTAGACTGCTTGAGCTCAGGAGTTTGAGACCAGCCTGAACAACAGACCCCATCTCTACTAAAAATAAAAAATAAAATAGCTGGGTGTCGTGGCACACACCTGTAGTCCCAGCTACCTGGGAGGTTGAGGCAAGAGGATTGCACAACTCAAGAGTTTGAGGTTGCTATGAGCGGTGATGCCATCACCATCGCACTCTACTCAGGGCACAGAGTGGGAGACTCTGTCTCAAAAAAAAGAAAGAAAAGTAAGAAGAAGGAACAGAAATACAGGCAGTAAATAATGTGCCCAAGCTTAAAATATCAGTTTGATACCGTCTATTCTTTTCCTTTATATTAAACTTCTTCATTTAAGCCCATAATTTGGCCAGGCGTGGTGGCTCATGCCTATACTCTTAACACTCTAGGAGTCTGAGATGGGCAGAACACTTGAGCTCAGGAGTTCCAGACCATCCTGAGCAAGAGTGAGACCCCATCTCTATCAAACTAAAAAAACTAGCTGGGCATTGTAGTGGGTACCTGTAGTCACAGCTACTTGGTAGTCTGAGGCAAGATTGAGCCTAAGAGTTTGAGGTTGCTGTGAACTATGATGATGCCACGGCACTCTACCCAGGGTGACAGAGACTCTATATCAAAAAAAAAAAAGCCCATATTTGATCTATATATCTTATCTGAGCCATAAATGTTTTGGGTTAAATCTTTTCAAGAACAAGAGCAAGAGACCCATATAAAACAGAAGATACAAAATTCATGTGATCTTTTAAAATATTCTAATAAACTCACGGATTATAAGAAAATTTAAAATAACACAGGATAAATCTCAACTTTGAATTAAATCTATATTTATCAAATATGCTAAAGAAATTGGTTTAATTAGCGGTGGCTTATCAAAACAATTCTCTTTCATTTTCATTAATATCAGACATGTAAATATTAATTTTAAATTAAGTTACAGACCTGACTATACTTGAAAAGTGATGACAACAGAAGGCTGTTCTAATATTTAATCATCACACTTATAAAATAAGTGGCTATCTGCCAATTAAAACAACAATGCTTTTCACAGAGGAGGAAAAAAGAAACTCTGAGTGCCAAAGTGCTTACCGCAGCTTGCCGATGAGTATTGGACAGGATTCCATGAATCTTCACTTTGTCTTTTTCCATTTGGTCTATGTTCACCCACAAATCCCGGCTGGCAGAATCAGATGGACCATACATCCGAGATATATAGTAATTGTGATCTGTGTCCTCCTGTAATAATGGAGAATAATGCATATCATGAACAGAAATTTTGTTCTTAAAATTCTTTTTTAAAAAATCCTATTGAACTTGGAGGTGTTCATAGTCTTCGAAACAGCCAAATGATTTATATAATGTTTGATGGAAATGAATTAAAATGAAATATATTAGTATTCTTCCTTAGAAGACAGTGTTAAAATACACAAAACATAGAAGGAACTATATTACATATTCCTTGGACTACAGTAGTGTTAGAGACCTAATGGCCACCTGATGAAAATGCCATTTTTAGGATGATTTACTAAAAATCTGAGTCATAATTATGATTGAGTGACAATGAGTTCAAATCTCTATTCTTTAAAAATAAGGTCACATAAGGTTTTACTTTCAATTAAGGGCCCAAGAAATGGAGATAATATATTTTCCTATTTAATGTGTGTTTAAAAATTCTACTTTCACTTCAATTCTCACTATTGGTGTTATCATGGTACCTGTCATAAAGACTTTATTTGTAATGTTTCCACTCATCAAATAGATTTAAAGGTTTTAAAAAGCAATTTTGATGAGGAAACCCCCCCAAAAGTCAGATGATTTTTGGCCAATTCTAACTATAATTTTTTAAACCGTGAAATGCAATTTTCCTTATCAATTTGATGAGTCACTAGAGAGAATATATTTTAAAATACTGAATACAAGAAAAACATTGAGTAAATAGATGATCTGTGATCTAAATAATAAAGCTTGGGATGTGAATTTTGTCTAATCCATTTGTTATCTAAGTGCTAATAAAATAAAAATTATTTTCGAAATCTAGTCTAAACAAGAATCTCACATTTTTTTATTATATATAAAATTTGTGACAGGAAGGAAAAGCATATTCTAAGTTTTATTCTAAATACATTTTGCCTCATCACTAAAACAGTAGGAACAAAAACGTGAAGGTTGAGAATAGTGATTACATGTTACCGTAAAGTATTGCTTTTTAAAAAATAAACATCCTATGTATACCTCCAATTAAACTCTCACTATCACATACAATGCACACCTTTGATGAAAGAAAATTCTGCAGAAAAAGAAGAGGAAAGTTGATACAAAGAAAGAAGCAGGAATAAGATGCTCCCCGAGAGAGCTTGGATATTCCAGTGGGTTTCCTCTCTCCTTTCCAGCATCTCATGACAGTGATTACTTGAACTCTACGAGGATCTGAGGCACGTGCTTGTGTCTTTAACACGTATCTCTCTCACTCCTGTTGACACCTGTCACACTGGAAGCTTCAGAATGGGTACCTTTCTTGACATTGGGCATAAGGCATTTTGCTCACATCATTTTACTGGTCACTGTGGTTGGTGGGCATACGTGAGTTCATAACCTAAAAGGCTCAATTACAGAGACATTCAGTAGTTGAGGTAGGAAGAGATAATTCCCCTTATTCTGACTGCTGGATGTATAGGTGTGAGACTTGGGAGGATTGTCCATTCTGCTACCCTGAGAAAAACTTCCTGAAGATAAGGCAAACACACGTATAAGGACAGAACCAAGAACACCACAAAGAAACAGCCACATCCTTGGTCAGCCATATCTAAGTGTGACTTCTAGACTTGTTCACTGGGATGAACCATTACATCTCTCTCTCTCTCTTTTTTTTTTTTTTTTTTTTTGAGATAGAGTCTCACTCAGTTGCCCTCAGTAAAGTGCCATGGTATCATAGCTCACAGTAACCTCAAACTCTTTGGGCTCAAGAGACCCTCTTGCCTTGGCCTCCCAGGTGGCTGGGACTTTAGATGTCCACCATAACTCCTGGCTATTTTTAGAGATGGAGGTCTCACTCTTGCACAGGCTGGTCTTGAACTTCTGAGCTCAAGCTATCCATCCATCTTGGCCTCCCAGAGGGGTAAGATTTCAAGCATGAGCCACCATGCCCAGCCTTCTTTTATTGTTAAATCACCCTGAGTTAGGTTATGGTCAACCCAAAGAATCGTAATTGAAAAATAGGTGACTCTTACTTGCAAGTAAACTCAAGCAACATTGAAAAAGGTGACCTTAATACATTTATAGGTCCAGATAATAAACATCTCTCCTTCTAGGTAATCACACAGCAGTAATGGAAGTCTGTGTCTAACCTGCTAGAAATCATCAAGTCTCAATAGCAAATGATGATCATTCATAAAGAGTAGTTATGAAAAAGTACTCAATGAGTTTAAATATAATTTTTTAATTTTTTTATTCCTGTTGCTAGTATGATTACAGAGTTCAGCAACACTGAAGTCAAAGGCATAATCTTTGGATCAATTATGTAAAAGGTTCTACGAGGCTGCCAAATTTCCACACGAATTACTAAATAGGTATTCTCCTTATAATGTCAAACTTTCAACATAGAATTCAGTACAATGGTTGAAATCAATCTTTATAAAACAACGTCAGCATTTTCCTTTATCTCTAAATTTCTGCAATAAGAAAGAATCTTGAAGTTGTCATAAGCAACCAGAGTATCCTTATACTTTAATAATGAATTATCTGAAAAAATATATATCTAATCACAAAGCATGTCACTGATGGGGCTATGTGAAAACACACCTACATTTTTACTTAAATCAGAGCTGCCAGAGACAGTATCACATCTTTGAAAACACTAGAGGTTGGTATTTGACTTCTATAGCCCACACTTGCCAAGTTGTCATGGCAACTTTCATTCAAAGAGGAAGACAATTTATTGTTTACTTAGCGAAGCAGAGACACAGTTGTTAAATTCCAGAGAAGTGTTTGTGTCAGATATTCAGGAAAGCCATAAAATAGATGTCTCAAAAATGTGACATGTTAGCACTACTAAATTATTCAAACCACGTCTTGTGCTTTTTTTTTTTTTTGGAATAATGGTACTTAAAGAGTTGTCAAAAGCCACTTTGGGTCCAAAGATTTTCATTTTCTGTTCCAAAGCAAAACTGTTTCTAACATTATAGAAAATAAAACAAAACACTACTGTGATATGCCTACTTGCCAATTCATTTAGGAAACCAACTGTTACTGAAAGGAGATGGCACAGGAGGTGGCTATAAATCTTATAAATCCGTGTTTCTCAAAAATGCTTGCAAATGTGCAGCTGTAGACAAACAGAAGACAGCTACCAAAAATACAGAGGAAAAAGTCATCATAGCTATAGTTCAGCCATTCTGCAACCAGCAGCCTATGTAACTCCTAACCCGAATGTTGCTTTCTCTTCTATCATGGGTGTTAAGATGATTTTATGACAGATTAATTTTTGTGAATGCCTCACACATCAGCTTATGCAGCCATGGCTTTTGAGCTCCAAATTCATTTTGTGGAGATCTAAAAGAAAAAAATGATCAAGAATATACTGCATGGCTAGCATTATGTTAGACATTTGGTGTACATGGATACTGAATCCCTAGAAGTTCTTAGGTTAGGTTATTTAGGACTGAATGAATCGGCTGCCTTTTGAAAACCATTTCATAATTAATAAAGCAAATTAGGATTTGAATAGTTCTTGTCAGGTGTTAATGAATACATTAATAATACATTCTTATCAGAATGATTTAACAAGGACTATGTAGTTCATCTACAAGGTAAAGCTAGTTTTAAATATTAGTTGTGAATATTATAATCCTCAGAAATAGTTTAAGAATAGTGCTCCATGAACTGACAGTACTCGGGTAAAAATTTACAGAGATGAACCCACTTGTAGTTAAATAAATATTACACTACCCGTCAGAACACAGGAAACAGGCCTAGGATACATAATATGAAATGGAAAAGACCGATGAGATAAATGTGACAAATGTTATGGGCTGAATGTTTTGTCTCCTTCCCAAAATTCAATGTGGCTGTATTTAAAGATAGGGTCTTCTTGGAAGTAATGAAGGTTAAATGACATCAGAAGAGTGGGTCCCTGATCTAATAGGATTAGTGCTCTCATAAGAAGAGAAATGAGATTCATTCTCTCTCTCTGTCCCTTTCTCTTTGTCTCTGTCTCTCTTTCTCCACTGTGAGGCCACAGCAAGAAGGCAGCTGTCTACAAGTCAGGAAGCGAGCCCTCACCAAGACACCAATCGGCTGGTACATTGATCTGGTACTTTCAGTCCCCATAATCATAAAAAAATAAATTTCTGTTGTTTAAACCACCTCGTCTATGATATTTTGTTATGACATCCCAAGTTGAAAAGACAATGGATCATCATATAAATTACAGAAAAAACAGAGATTGAATACATATGTAGTTAGTATAGAAAAAACTTAAAATATATTAGAGGAAAACATTTTCTGAGATAAAGACTTCAATCTCCATACCATGCCCAGGAAAATTTGCAATACTACTTTGGCTACAAGGAGTGTGGTATGGGTAGGTCAAGAAATTAACAAAAAAAACAATGATAGGATTTAGTTTTCTTTCACCAGGTTGCCAAAGAATCAAAGTAAACCAACAGGTTTAAACTCATTTGAAAAGCCTATGAACAGAACACAGAATGCTCAGTATTATTGAATCAGTCCTAGACAATTTCAGTGTGATAAGAATAAGATATTATCTTCGAATAGCCTTCAATATCCATCAGCAAATCCCCCATATTACCCTCTTCAGTTACTAAGAACAATTATACGGTATACAATTCAATTTAATGTTATAGTGTTAGAAGAATTAAAATCAATCCATCCATCTCCTGCTGGTTTTATCAGATTGTTACTCTCATTATGCACACCTTTTTCATATTTTTTCAGTTGGTTATGAATACTTTTATCATTTTCCCTAAGGATTTTTACGGACTTGATCTATTTGCAGCATGCCCTCCGAGCAATATCTTATATATGACTTTTGAAGGCATAATTTATTTTACCAATTCTTCACGAGAGTTTACTTAAGTGACCTCCAAGAACCTAAGATTAGAATAACGTGTGTGTAAATTTACTGTGAAATCAAAACACTGTGTGCACCATATAAAATATGGGAAGCTAGAAATGTTGTAAATGTTATAAAACATCATAAAAGTTTCCATTTTTCCTCT